CTGTGGTGTTCAATTAAAAATCTTACTAATAAATAAAACATTTTTACCAGTAATAGTTTAAATATGTACTTAGCAATAAGTACTAATGTACTAACATCTACTAAAGTGATACTAATAGCTAGGCCCACACGGAATCTGCGAGCGCTGGAATTCACAGATTTTCAGCCCATCGAGTCTATGTATTTACTTGTATAAATGTGTGTAAATTCCTATTTATTCAGTTTTTAAATTCATTTTCACTAATATTATTGTGATATAATAATAATCGTAATATTAAAATGTTCATATTATTTATTTACAATACACTTTTCAAAGTCATTTTCTGTCTTTTAGTAGATATATTATTATATTATATTATATTATATTATATTATATTATATTATATCATATTATATTATATTATATTATATTATATTATATTATATTATATTATATTATATTATATAAGACACTTGTTTTGTTTACCAGTGGTTGTCATTGGATTTGCTATGTAAACATTAAATAAATGTTGAAAAGGTATAATTTTTTTTCATATATTAAGTGTTTCGTTATGATACTGCTAAAATCATTCTGCATAAATCCGCAGTTTTTACAAAATTCTCAGCAGAAATTGCAAAAAATGTTCTGTCTGGCCCTACTAATAGCTAAACAGTAACCACTTGTAACAGAAACTTACAAATTGATAGTTAAGAGAATATCAAATAATAATTACTAGTATCTAAGGATAGATAATAGAGTTTTAAAAATATGTACTAGTACCGGATGAATAAGTTAAAATCTAAAAACAATAGAATCTGGTAAATAAGTACCTAAAGAATAAGTACTATACACTCTCGGAAATAAAGGTACAGGAGCTGTCACTGTGGCAGTACATTTTTTAAAGGTACATAGTTGTACCTGAAGGATTCAGAATGGTATGTTAAAGGTACTTTTTTTTCATTTGGGCACTAGTATGTACCTTTGAGGTACAATTACGGACCCTTCAGGTACAAAAATGTACTTTTTGAAAGGGTACTGGCCCAGTGACAGCTCCTGTACCTTTATTTCTGAGAGTGCAGTAGCTAATGAATTAGTACAAGATGCAAAAGATATTAAGTGACCAAAAATAGGTTCACTGTAAAAAATCACATGATCAATTTGTCATGACATCATATGTTTTTGGTTCATTGTAACTTATTAAACCAAGTTAATCTTGTTCTAACTTAATTTTATAAGTTATGCAGGCTGTTTTAAGTCAGTTTGACATAATGTAAGTTCACTGGACTCATAAGGTTAATTTGATTCAGCTTAAAAAATTAGGGCAACTAGGATTTTTTACAGTGTAAAGTGATAGCATGTAAATAGATATGAGTAGTTTATGGATTAAATGCCAAATGGCTTGCCATAGTGGGTAGGATTGAATCTATAACAATGTCCCATGCTACAAGATATATAATCATACAAACACCTCAGAGTTAATTAAACTACATAAAGCAACATAAAATAGCATAAGTATGAAAACAAAACAAGAGTTGTTAGAATTATGAGCTCCTCAATTGATACTTGTCCCATTTTCTCGCAGCTATGAGTCACGATCAGTTGACAGTTTGAATTACTTGACTTGGAGCTCCAAACAATTATAAGGGTGGGTCTAATAAGGCCCTTACTCTTCACCCAAACATAGAGGTGACATTCAAATCTCCTCTCAGGAAAAAACACAGAGAGGAAAAAAAAGAAGTAGTTGTACTACCATGGCAAAGATATTTATAGGAAGTTTGCATTCGCACACAGTGTCAGAAATAAACTTCCGAGTTTGTCGTGTTCTCTGAGACGGTAACCGGTGGGGTGTGTGAAATGCCTCACTGGAGCTTTAGATACTATGAGAGAAGATGTGATACATGTATATTGGATTGTGCATGCTGAGGGAAATACAGTATAAAGCAGAGACATCTTTGTTTGTATGAAAGTGTTTGTCTTGGATTCCAGGAAATGCTCAGAGCTTTTGAAATGTGTTGTGTGGTTTACAGTAGAACCTGTTTGTCCAGTACCTGTTTACGTTATAAACCCTCCCCCCGTGAGAGCTATGGCTTATAACGCTTTAGTTTCACAAACTAAGCGTACGTCCGTATGTGTGCAGACATGCGTGGGTGAATCATATCAGGAAAGTTCTTTCTGGCTGAAACCTGTGACATCACGATTTGTACGATTTCTGAAGACACCCCCTTTTCTCTTTAACAAAAATAAAGTGGGCAAATTCCAAGAAAAAATACATCCTCATGTGCCATCACGCATACAGAATCCTGCACTATGTTATATGCATTGGCATGTAACATAGTGATATGTACATATCTGATATGTACATTCAGGTCAGGTTCTTAAAGGAAATTGTCAAAAATAGAGAGGGAAAATGAATAAACATTTAAACAAAAATGTACTTTTATCCTGGATCTGTTTCCATCAACCTATGTTATGCAGTAATTTCCCCCACCTCACCAAAAGTCATTTAAAAAAGATAAAATTTATGTTAGTAGGACTACATTGATCCATTGTATCCATTTAATCAAAGGTGACATCGATGATTTATTCAAGAGCTGATTACAAAGAAAGCCATTTTTACTTGAGAGTGGCCAAATATGCTGTATTTTAGGAATTATAGTTTATTGCTTCACAGAGGAACTGTGGATTCAAAGCTTCCGGATGAAATGATCAACCTTTTTGAAATATGATATAGCTTAATGTAGTGTTTGTTGCATAAAGTAAAAAGATCCCAGTTTATATAAATACATTCCTATATCTTTGAAGAATGATCAAGCGACATTCATGTATGCCAGATGTTCAGTAAAACTAAAAATGTGGGGGTGAATAGGGGAAAATCATTTAATTGTAGTTTCACAAAAAATCGATGAGTTTTGAATTGTCTGAATGATATCCTCATGTGAGCAGAGAACAACAACTTTTTAATATTTATTTATTTTTGCTAAATTGAAAAAGAAAGAAAAGAAAAAAACTCTTGAATGCAGGCTGCTAAAGTTTTTGAAAAGAACAGTATTATCCCCTCTGTGTCAAAAATGTGACAGCATGCACATAATGGATTTTACCAGCTCAGTCCATCCGCTTGTTTAATGTGACATCGCGCAAAGCAGCTTATAGGTCCATGCGCACTATCAGACTGTTGGGGAAGACTTAACAACTGGTAATAATAAACGTTTACAAAGCGATGCAATACTTTCGAAAATCAAGACCGCAATATATATATATATATATATATATATATATATATATATATATATATATAATAAATTTAAAATTCAATTTAATGTGTGACATGACTAAAAAGAGGTCATAAATGAAACTTTTCTCATTTCAAATGAGTAGCAGCTTGGACCCGGAAACAGTATTCCATATGTCACGACTTGAATTAAATGGAAAACCATGCATGAGTCCTTAACAAAAAAAAAAAAAAAAGACAATGGTGTACTACAGGACTGTATGTAAAAAGAAGCATAGTGTTCCTTAAAAAGTGACATCACCACCTACTGGCCTGCACAATACAGTTGTTTGGTCATTATTTTCTTAGATCTGTGTAATGGTATCGCTTTGACAATGTTGTTATATGTTTAAAAAGTCAGAATTAATTGAAAAGCTGCAATAAGATACTTAACCATAAACAAAAAAAAAGTTTTGTGGAATAAATAATATCCACGGATGTTAAATGTTCTTCATTTAAATAATAAATGGCAATAAAAAACTTTATTTTTAGGTTTTAAACTTTTTTCTATGTCAGTCTGTTCATATACTACAGCATACAGTAAAAAATGACACATTGGTGAGGCTGATTTCCTCTACAATTTCCTCTTTTACTTTCTGTGGTGAGTAGTCATCATTTGCTTTTCTTGTTTGAGTAAAAATATTGTCCTTCAAATGTATGACTTGATATCCTGACTATGTTTTGCACTTGTCTTAAGATTAGGATTGCAACATAATCATTCTTTAAATGTGTGACTCAGTTCCTTTTGTGACTCCGTAAAATGATTTGTTCAAATGCTAAATTCCAAATACAAATGTACTGTATGTCAACTCTGTGTGTGTGTGTGTGTGTGTGTGTGTGTGTGTGTGTGTGTGTGTGTGTGTGTGTGTGTGTGTGTGTGTGTGTGTGTCATGTTGTATGCTTTTAAACATCACTGATATTAAACAGTACATTGACCATCAAATGTCAGTGTATTTGAGGAAAAGTTTTGTTTGTTCTTTGACAGTATCATTTAAGCACAATTTAACACTACTTAACTGACAGACGGTCTGGTTGGATCTGGGCAAAGTAAGAGAGTAAGTGACTCTGTAATAATAAAGTTCTTGTATACTATAATTATTTTTTAATGACCTACGCAAACAGTAGGTCTATATTATGGGTTTCAAACCTTAAAATTGATAGAAAATTGTATAATCCTTCACAATTTATTCTTCTTCACACACACACACACACACACGCACATGCTAAAACATGGATTATTTTTTATTGACCCATATTTTCAACTTTTAAGTGACTTGTTTATTTCTAAAGCTATATAGGCTATGTTTGTTTTTTGTTTTTTGGGTGGAGGTGGGGGTGGGGTCCTTGATAGCTCATTACATAGTAGTTTTTATTTATTTGTATTTTATTTTTTAAACCCGTCATTTACAATGTTCTTGAAGATTATCTTAAATACACTAATGTAGAATACACACAGAAGTCTTCTACTAGTATAAACAACTGAAGCATGTTGACATTTGGTCTAAACAAATTGAAAAGACGAAAGTATGACCAAACTGTGGTGATCAGATCTACAGTGACGTGTCTCACCTCTCGATACGCGATGCCATCACGAAACCCCCCTACAAAACCTCATAAGCAACCTGAAGCAGCAGAAAACGAAACTCCTCTTGTCTCCGCCCATAGAGAGGACGAGGCTCTTAAAGCTCAAATCATCAGATTCAGCTCATTTCATAATCAAGGTGCGGCTTCGGTGAACAGGTGTTTGAGTCAGGGCTTCTCCGATTTTTATTTACATTTTAAACGTATTTTTTTTATTATTTTGACCGATTCATAATCGGAAGGCTGCTGAAAGCGAGCGATATTTGGACACTATTAGGTTATTTGCTAAGCAGGTTTAGTTTTTAAACTCATTCTGAGAAGATGGCACATAAAGGACTGCAACTCCTAGGGTTTACTCTATCGTTGCTAGGGTTGATTGGGCTCATTATTGGCACAATCATGCCCCAGTGGAAGATGTCTGCTTACGTTGGAGATAATATAATCACAGCTATTGCGATGTACCAGGGCCTTTGGATGTCGTGCGCTTACCAGAGCACCGGCCAACAGCAATGCAAGGTGTATGACTCCGTCCTACAACTCGACAGTAAGTTCAAACTGCCTATAAACTTTTAACTGTGTAAACCCTGTTTGCAGTTCCAAAACGTACCTTAACCTCTACTGAACTTCTTTGGAATACAAGTTGTGGTTTTAAATTTCCGAAAGCTGCCGTTTAGAGAAAACTGTAGCCTACCTGAGTGCACGCATGCGCGTACTATTCACCGTACTGGCTAAAGACAGTGGTACTGAGAAGCTTCGTACTGTGATAATGCGTACTCTAGCGTTTGTAAACAAATTATGAAATAAGTTTTCATATTTATTGCGGCATCATACTGAATTATTTTTAAAATTATGATTCTTGTTATGATTACCTGTAAAAAAATAAACAGACCTTTCACACTATTTTGATGTTTTTCTTTACCCGTACATGAAAGATATCGAGCTCAAACTGTTTGTCATTACCACGCCCTGTTCACTTGGCGGCAACTCATCTCGAGTTACCGCAGTAATGACACGCACCTGTCCTATTACTACACGAGTTTTTAAAAACAAAAATCATGCTTTGTTTTGTGCTAAGATTAAAAATTTAATAAAATTTGTCTGTCATTCAAGTGGCGTTTGGTTACAAAATATCTTTCACACGTTCGTGCAAAACTGGTTGTTAGATAAGATTTTTTGTTTAGACTACGTTTTGTTACTATGTGTGTGCGTGCTCACTCGTCAAAGAAGCTTAAAGTTGATAAAGGCATCTGTCCTTCAGGAATGTGCAAATATTTCCAACCTAGAGTTGCCAAAATAGGAGATTATTCGTGATTATAAAACAAAATATAAATCGTTTTAACATAAGTGTGAACTCTCTAACTGGGGCATTGCTAGTTTATTGATGGCTGATACGGTTGGGTTACGCTTTTACTCAAAGTAATGATTATACGGGCGTGACTCCCACCCTTCCTCCCCTCGCGGAAATTCAGTGCTCCTGGATCGGGTGGGGAGTCAGGCATTGTCTTTGAAGGGCTTCAGTTATTTTGCCAACAGCTTATTAAAACAACCAAGAGAAGACTCCTTTGTAAAGCACATAAACACCGACAATAAACTTTTTATTATATAATAACACTACAGGCGTTTTGCCTTTGTTTGGTTAATGTTTATTTACCAGATTTGTTTTTCAATTTTTACTCCCAGCATCCGAGATTGATGGAAAGGAGTTGTTTGGCTCACTTCAGCCATTTTGTGTTTATGGTTATAAGTTTATAGACCCTAAAGTAATTTAGCTTTTTACCATATCAGTTTTTGATAAAGGTAGTGTGAAATAAGACTCTTATCAGTGAGTTTATTTTCCATTTATGATCTGTACACAAACATACCTCACATTTCAGGTTTGTAATTACATCTAACTGTAATATTGCTATTAGGGATGAAAAAACAGACAATGTGACGTAATTGCCTGCAGCCATTTTGTACATCAAGCTAGATTTTAATTTCAACTTTAATTCAGATGAAGACTTTTAAGTTTTCCTAAGAACTTCTGGATTTCTACTCCGTAACAATCTGAATTGTTAAGAAGTGCTAAAATGCTTTTGATGAGCCAACTATGCCAACAAAAAGAAAATAAAGTAATGCTGCAGTAACACCCAACTTCCCATATCTGGTCAAACCGGTTCCTTCTCTAAAGCTAAAGGGCAAATTGCTGCCCACATATGTACACAATCTTCCCTGCGCTCTCAAAGGAGCCTTCCGGTTGGAACCGGTCTTTGCACCTGACTGCAGGTGTAGTGGGGGAAGGGCTTTTGTTCTGAGTCAGAGAGAAAAACAAAAGTCAGTGGATAACTGGGCCATTTTAAAGTTTATAATCTTTATTTTTGACTCACCATTGGAATGCAGCTTACTTGCAGTCATTGTTAGTTTATTTACCTTCAAGTAAAAAGGCAGATTTATTTACCTTTTCTTTTTGTAACTTTCTTTCTTTACCCTCCCCCTTTCTAGGTGCTCTCCAGGCAACTCGTGCCCTTATGGTTGTAGCAATTCTTCTTACAGTAGCTGGACTGGGTGTGGCCAGCATGGGCATGAAGTGTACTAACTGTGGTGGTGATGACAAGGTCAAAAAGTCCCGCATTGCCATGACAGGCGGTATAATCCTCTCTGTTGGAGGTAAGATTACTCCCTTATCATTTGAGATGTTGCTAAAGCACAACATTTTGCCCCAAAAAATGCTGTCTGAAATCTAATCCTCAAACACTTTACTTTTTAGGAATGTCTGATATTTTTGCCATTTCAATTTACTCTAGTACAGATCTTTGTCAGATGACATTTTTTAAATGTTTTTCTCCTGTTGTGCGCTGAAAAATGTCTTTGTCAAGAACATGTTTGGAATTTTTCTCAAAAGTAACTAATTTATTGTTTCTCTTCCTCAGCCCTCTGTAGCATTGTTGCCTGTGGCTGGTTTACAAGTCAAATTATCAGGGATTTCTACAACCCCTTCACACCTGTCAATACAAAGTAAGTAGCTGCAATGAATGTGTGCTTCAAATAATTTTAGTCCTCTAAACATTTAATACGCAATAGTTAAATGTTCATATGCAAAATTTCACTTTGTAGCACTCATATTGATTTTGCTTCTTTTAGATATGTTGATTCTAAGTAACTTTTGCAACTGTCAACTATCTACTAAAATACTATTTAGATGGTCTCCAAACATAATCATTCCAACCACACATCTTAACGCTAAACTAACAATGACCTACAGGCTGGGATGAACATTTTTTTTCTTCTTCCACTACATCTAGCACTCAGCAATGTCCAAACAGCTTTAAAAGCTTAGGGGAAATGTGGTGAGCAAGCAAAATCCAGGCTTTCAATGAATATAGCTTACAGTCGTCATCATCAAAATGATGCCTGCTCAAAGAAAACTGATACTTTTATTCAATAATATTGATTTTATGCTTATGTAGATTCAACCACATTGCATAGTTGTATTTGGACAGTAAAAGGTTTACAGACTGTTGTTCAACACATGCAGACTACAAACAAATCCACTGCACATGATGAACGGGTTTCGTCATTTATCATGTACCTGTACTGTTGTTATGTGGACAGTCTAGGAAGTTGGCCTACAAGCAGTTGCAGGCTAACAAGGACCATGTGTGGATCACCACAGAATACATTTAGCTAGGGCATACTTTGCTTTTAATTATAACAGTTTTTCTTTAGTTTCTCTTTAACTGTTTCATGAAAATGAAACCTAAGAAATTAAACTTCCATTTACGACCCCAACGTTATATAAATAAACAAGCAAAATGCTGAGGTATATTTAGTTTTATTTCCCAGTGATGGGTTGCAGCTTGAAGGGCATCCGCTGCGTTAAACATATGCTGGACAAGTTGGCGGTTCATTCCACTGTGGCGATCCCAGATTAATAAAGGGACTAGGCCGAAAAGAAAATGAATGAATGAATGAATGAATGAATGAATATTTCGTTTTGGTTGGAATCATGGTGTAAGTGTTCTAGAATTCTAACTGAGGCTGCATTTCATTAGAAGATTTCATCTCTATGCCATAATAAAGGGGGATGAAGGAGTAGGGGACCAAAAACCAGACAAAATATGTTCATTGACTTCTGCTATAACAAATGATTAAATGTGCAAGAAAAATTATGTTCAGCACTTGTACCCAAAAATATCTACAATTCTAAAGGTTTGTCTATTAATGTGTTAAGCGAGTAGATTCAGCTAGCAACAACACTGTGAAGTGTTTTTTGTAAAAAACAAAAGGAGATGTCATCAAAATGAAGTGTCCCCCGTTGACCTATCTTCTGTTTCTTTTATTGAACACAATGCAAAGGAAACTGAAAGCTCATAATATAATATAATATTCTCTCTCTGTAGGTATGAATTTGGTGCAGCTATTTTCATCGCCTGGGCTGGTGCATTTCTCGATATAATGGGTGGAGGCATGTTGGCCTCTTCTTGCTCAAAGGGTCAGTCATCTCCTAATTACCCTAAGTCCTCCAGACCCGTCAAGTCCTCCAGACCACCCAGCAGCAGCAAGGAATATGTTTGAGCCATTTGTTCACGACCTGGAAAGGACATGATCAATCCCAGAGTATGGGTAGAAGTTTGCCCTGTCAGCTGATATGAGATCTGTTTAATTTGGTTTGTATGTTTGACTATAGATAGAAAAAACAGCTCAGAAAGGTATTTTTGGCCAACTTTTACTTGTGTTCTGATACAGCAGCCCACCAAAAATGGTCACTTCTTTCTTTTGGTTAGCTCCTTGTTCCACCTTCCCCACCCCCGATTATAAAATGTGAGTTTGCAAAGGGGCTTCTTCCCCAGAGTCTTCCTCATTTCAGATTACTGTCACCTTTAGTGAACATGAAAGAGGGAGACCTGCTCAGGGAAAAATCATTACTCATACTGCTCTGTTACACCAAATCTCTGCTTCCAGCTGTTAAACCCTTGCTTGCATCATTTTAGGAACTGCGCCAGACACTGAGGTGCTTATGAACAATTAATACATGCATTACATTTTTAAAGCTAAGAGTAACATGCAAATAACCTGGTTCACTTTGCAGCATTTTCCCTGTCTGGTCCCCATGCCAGCAGAAACTCTTTTCATACTTCATTTTATACAAATTAGCACCCTTTAAGTAAAGTTTCACTCGTAAATTCAATGAATCATTCTTTTCAGTGTATGCTGATGAAGCTGGATTAAAACTTTAGATGGAAAAATGAAGATTAATTTGGTTTGGATGAGGCTTAACATGAAGCACTAAAATCAAATTGCTCTTTCTTATGCAACTTGAACCTTTTGATTTGCTGTTGTCCTTTGTTTTGAGTGTACACCTTGGTTTTTGTGCCCATTTAGGAAGGTAACATGTTTTTTGTTTTTATACACTCCATTAATTGGTCACAAAAAAGCTGTGAATATTGGCTTAGTTGAATCACTGCTGGTTCCAACTATTTTTATGTTACTGTAAAACTTTTTTTTATCCATAATATGAACATTTAAAACTGGACTATACTTTTTTTTTTTTATTTTGCTTTGGTCTGTGCTTGAACCATTTGATGTGGGTTGCACTCAAGTCTACTTAGGATAGAGTCACGTGAATGTCTGTGACTAGCTTATGCAAATATTTAACTTTTTAAAATGTTTTTGACTTCAAGTTTGCAATTGAAAAATTTTATGTAAATAAATTTTTTAAACAGAGTCTGACTTATTTCATTTTCCTTTGTCTAATATGTACCAGTTTAACCATATTAGTGATTTGCAAATACTTCAGGAATGGTGTGTCACGTGGTCTTTGGACTTCAGTATCATAGTTTGCAAATTCTGGCTTTCACATGAAACATTTTTGTAGGTTGTTAATGGGAGAATTTGAGTAAACGGATGATGGGTCACTGCAACTCATTCAGTGAATTAGTTATGTCATGACATTTTTATACTTTTGCCCTTTTAATCAAGCATTTTGATATAGAATTTAAGTATATTGTACAATGGAGGAACGAGGAAATATTATAGTTACTATATAGCTTTTGCATGGTTAAATATTCCATGGTGGGCTTACACTGTAGTTGATCGTTTTGGTCAAATGATTATCAAGTTTTCCTTTTTCCCAATAAAATCTGTTGCTTTTATATTTTTACATTTAAACCTATTGGAGCGTTAAAAAGTAAAATTGTGGAGGGGACATTCTACAGTAATGTTCATTTTTCTGTCTACGATTTTACACTTGAAAAACATCTTTAGGTTTACATTTTTTTTCTTTTTTTAATAAAACGATACGTTATTTAAATCATCAATGTGGCATTAATTAGTTTTAATTACTTCTGAAAAATTTCAAACCACATAACTGCTTGTCCTCAGTTTTTTACCATTTAACGTACATGCATTAAAGCAATAAAATATAAAATTACATTTTAAAAGAAAATACCAAAGAAATATTATATAATCTATCATGAAAGTAGTTCCCTGGAGTTATCACTGGTGTTCCAGATTAGCAAAAGTCTTATTTTGGAATAAAAATTACTCTAGAAACATGACTTTCATCTATCTATTTCCTGCAGATCTGTAAAAAAGTCCATTGTAACTCCACTGCCATTTTTTACTTATCAGAAATTTATGTGAGCAAATCCACATGAAGCTTTAGTTAGTGTAATTGGTGTGACCTCCTTTATTGTTAAGAAATTGTCAAAACTGTGAGAGATTTAATATTATGACTTTTGACATGGTAACACCTTGCAGCAGATATTTTGTAAAATGCAATTTTCTTATAAATTGTTGCTGGTGTCACTTTTCTTTTGGGTAACACCACTGAAGATCATGTTTTTATCACTGGTGATTCATTTGTGTCACTGGTGTTTTTTCCTCTGTCACAAAAATGTGTTGAGATACGTAATATTTTAAAAGATACTAATTTTACATCGACTGAATTCGGCTAGACTCAAAATTTGTAGTTAAGTTATATAAATGTTCTATATTTATAGATGTTTTTTTAAATACTTTAATTTTTATAGCAAATGTATGTACAGGTAGCTCTTTCACAATAGTCAATATATCAACTTATCACACAACACATGACCTCAATCATTTTTGGTGATGTAATATATATATCGTCCATACAAAAAAACTATTTAAGCAACATCTGTCTCTATTGAAGGTGTCAGTATAGGTTAAAAACACTATAGTATTTACTATAAATTACTTTAGTATATCATCATGTGCGTGCCTGACAACTGAAAATAGATCTGGTACCAGATTTCGCAGCCTCTATTACTTTTTACCTTGCATTTTTTGGTTAACATTTATTACTATTTATTTAGTATATGCGTTTTCACATTCTGAATCCAATGTATAATTAATAAATTGCTAAAATGACTGTAATAAATTAAATATTCTTAAAAATAAAATATTTTTTTTCTTTGGAAGAGTGTACTTGCATCTTGATGATTTTACAGTATGTTGTCAATATATAATGATGAGTGGCTTAAAATGGCTTTAAAATAACAATAATATTGTTTATCGCAATATATTTTGATGCAATATATTGCACAACATAAAAATAGCAATGCTGATAGGCCTAAATGTATGGTTGCAGAAATGAACTAACATTGTGAAATAGCACTTTTAACAAATCAGATTAAAAGAAATAAAACATAATCCCCTTATTTGTTACATTATCATTATTTTCCTCTAACTGACTACATGTGCTGAAAAAAAACAAGTAACAAAATTTTAGAAAACTTTTAATATTGCCAAATAACACCGGTGACAACAAATGGAATGTGATCTTTAAATAAATGTACAAAAAATCATTTAGTCATTTATGTATTTTCACAAGGTGATTGATTAATGTGATTTAAATTTAAATCTAAAAAAAAAAAATCTTGTTAAAAAAAGAAATTTTGTTAAAAAGTGCACGTTTCTGTAAAATGACACGTAAATGTCCTAGTAGCAGACATCACTTTTGGCCACTATCCACTCTGCCAGTTGAATTTCAGGTTCAGATGCTATCATTAGCTATAATATGATTAACAAAACAGCTTTGAACAGAAATTGCACCAGTACTAATGTGTGAGACAAAATATAAGGTACTTTTCCTCCATCACTAACCTGTGTGTTTTGCTCTCTACTGCCGATCAGTGCTCATTCCTGCTAGTGTATCCTCAGTCAAATCCTTAACTAAACATGGTAGGCCCTGCTAATTCAGACTTGAGACCCCTGAAGAAAATCACAATAAAATGTTGGTTATCTTATTCTTTTTTAAATTTATTTTAAATATATTTTTTTTGTCAGTGAACAATATTAATATTTTAAGGTAAACTGTTTTGTTCACATACAGAAACAAAAAAATAACTTACCCACCACGTGCCTTTCCAAAAGGAACACGTTTGTAGCTTATTTACCACTGCAGGCTGCTTATTGTTATATTACAAAATAGACTATCAACTCTTTATTAACATGTTTTAGTAAATGTGTACGGTTGATGAACATGGATTTCTGTCACACTGATACCGTTTGTATAACCTTTCACAAGCTCCTTAATGTTAGCTAAGTTACTTAAGCAAAACCATGGTAATTTTGTCATTAACGTTACCGTTGTAGTTTTTTCAGGAAAATATGATTCGTTTTCAGCAAGTTTTACTAGTGAAATGGCGCCAAAAATAACTATCTGGACTGTGTAAGATTTACTTAATTATTCATAAAGATTTCTTAACGTAACCCACCTTCAGTCCGTCTAGATGATAAATCGGTAGATTTTTGACAACTTTTGAAGTTTGTTGCAGCAAAGCCGTTAATGACGTTTACACCCAAACTGCAGAACTTTTTAGTGTTTGTTGCCATCTAGTGGACAACGGTGGAACAGTTTGACACTGTGACAGAATAAGTTTTTAACCATTTGATGTCAAATTTACATTTTATTTTTGTACGTCCTTTTTCCCCAGTGCTGAAATACGGAATGCAAGCAACACATAAATCAGTATAAATACTTCATACATGCCACATAATCACTCCATCTGATCACATCAGCTTGTTACATACTTGATCAAAAGTAATGCATGGCAATAATCAATCAAGTGCATAGCTTTTTTTCAAAGTGATAACTAATACAGCGTGCCAAAATAAGGCTAAACCCAGACCCATAGCCAGCCTGGTGAAAGGGGTGGTTCTTTTTCTCAAAAAGTGGACCTTTTTGCAATTATACGCCTCATTTTTTATTGAAATATTAAATTTAAATACTGCATTTTAGTGACATTTTAAGCAGTTGTTTAAATTAGAGAGAACATGCAAATTCCACGGAGAAATGTCAATTGACACAGCCGGGGCTCGAACCAGCAACCTTCTTGCTGTGAGGCAATTGTGCTACCCCACTGCACCACCATGCTGCCCCACCAAAATAGTACTGCAATAAATTTTAATATAGGCCATTTTTTTGTTTCAAAAATATGGTCCAAGATTTAGAATAAAAGTTACTTGTAACATGTTTTCTTCATTTAAAAACACTACAGTAGGGAAAGATTACTTCTCTTACGTCAGATTGTATGTTTTCTTGCACTGCAGTATGTTGGACTAATGAAAAATATTTGTTAGCATTGGCCAAAACCTATCAGCATTAGTCACGCTGAAGCAACAGCCAACAGAGGATTCCGGTTGGTCTTAAACCTTTTTTGATGGGTTCTTTTCACCCTGGTGGCATAGCAGTCAAAAGAGAACAAATAAGCTCAAGTATGGGACAAATTCTGGACCTTTGTCAGTGAGGGGTGGGGCTTCACTGTCTACAGGCCTGAAACCAGCTATAGATACAAAGACTTCAGTAGTGATTCTCAAAATGGGGCATAATTAAAATAGCCTAGACAAACTAATAAAACAAAAACAAAAGAAAAATGTAAATGAATATTAAAAATTCTAAAAACAAATGAGTACATTTATTTTTTTAAACAACTGGAATTAAGAAAATTATTCATAGTTTTTTTTAATTTTAACCAATTAATTTTTCTTCTGCTAATAAAATGTTGGGAAAAATAAAAGATGAAGTTGAGTTTGCATGGGTCATACAATTTTTAGAATATCATAGGAGTTTAAAAGGTCTATTCCTGACATTAAAAGTTGGGACATTTTATTTATTTTTGTCAAAAAGTCAAGGAATTTCAAAGAGTTTTGATTTTTGTAATGTCATTTTTCTATACAGAATCATGTTTTTATCACTTTGTTTTTTACACTTTTGCATGTTGGTATGGTTAAGCTATTTTCCAGTGCCATTTTATTTGTTTCCCACTCGTCAGCTGGCAGTCACCAAGCTGTTGGCATGGGCCATTATAAGATTATATTATAAGATATGATGGTATGATAACCTTGGATAAAAATATCCCGGTTTCATGGTTTGACATTATTGTGATTACTGCTCTAAAATATATTCTTTTTAAATTTCTGGGTAAAAACAGGGTTTCTGCAAGTTTCGTCATGTCAAATTTGAGACCTTTTTAAGGCCATTATGTATAAAATTTCAGACTTACACAGGGCAAAACACCAATAATTTTCTGTAATAAATAGTTTTTTTTTACTTGCCTCATTAAAATTAAAAACCAGTTATTTCTTACTTACATATTTTAAATAATGTGTTGATACAAGCAAACTCTAGTTATAAAGATTTATTTTTCTAACCTTTCTTTAAAAAAAGACTTAAAAGCTTTAATAAACAAAATGTATG